CATATGTACGTATTACGTATATTGACTAATATACGTAATACCTCCGTTCTCTTTTAATTGCAACATTGGACTTTTTGCACTATTCACATATTCTATTTTGACTATATTTTATTATTAATGTATTAAAAATTATTAATTTTTAAAAAATATTGTTAAATTCTTCTCATTCTAAATTTTCAATATATGATTTTTGTAGATTTTTACTAATAAGGAATGAAAGATATTAATGGTCAAACTTGTGCGTTGACAAACGTGAAACGTTGACTGTTGCAATTAAAAAGGAACGGAGGAAGTATGTTGATATGTACGCAGTACGCGTAGTTACATAAAAGTTTCAAATGAGGATAGAGTTATTGATGTAGTGCATGTTTATGTGTAAAGGTCACAGACTTTTCTCATATGCTAGTTCCTATCTATTGTTTTATATAGTAAATGTTAGTTATAAATAATTGATGTGTCACTCAATTATTGGTCAATGAAAACATTTATTTTCACTAATTGTTTAATTAACTCACCGTAAAAACACAATTTTATCTTCTATTACTTCGTATTTCGTTAGAAACACGCATAAAGTGAGGAAGCCAATAAGTAATACCTAACACAACCACATTTAGTTATACTAATACATGTATGCATTGTTTGTTGCGAATTGCGATGACCAAACTCGGCCAGTGGTGCAAATTATCATCATAGTATGGGGCAACATTTTTAGTTAAATAATCTTCACTAAAAAACAAAAAAAAATGTTCATCTATTGATTTATTACTTTATATGGTAAACCATAGTCATAAATAGTTAATTATGTCACTATGTTATTGGTTAATGAAAATAATTAGTATCACTATTTTAAAATCTACAGTTTATATAGTAAAATTAAGTTAAAAACTAATGATGTGTCAACCTCCCTTTGGATAATGCAAGTTCTATTATCACAACAATTAAAATCATTCATTGACTCCCTAAATCACCGTTATTTAAAAAAAACCTACATCACAGCTGATTTGGAGCAAAAGAAGGAGAAATAATACTACCTCCGTCCCGCTAAGAACTTCCTACTTTGACCTACACACATATTTAGGAAATAAATTTGACTTTACTGCAGAGTACACTGTTTCGACACTGTTTGAACTTGTTTTGCACTGTATGACACAGTTTTGATGTAGGATAACTTTCAATTTAGAGAAACGAGAAGATCATTTTGGGACGACTAAAAAAGGAAAGCAGAAAGATCTTAGCGGGACGGAGGGAGTATGAAGTATCTCTTTTTAAAAGTGATACAACTTTTATATTTATAATCCAATTTTTACAAAATATATATCAAAATCCATAACTTTTTATGATCATTCATATGACACCAGTATCATATATATAAAAGTTAAAAAATCTATTACTCTTTACATTCCGTAGAAAGGCTCCCACACGATTTACGATATTTTACTTACCATAAAGTTAATTGACACGTGTCAGTAATTAGATTCTTTTTAGTAAATAAAATTTACATATTCAAGGACTATATCAAAAGTTTTATAATTTCGCAAAAGAAAAACTCAAATTTGATAAAAGTTGGATATAGCAAGTAATATATTAAGAAGACTTTAGGTTGACCGGATAATAGTGGATGTGAACTTTTGAATGAGATGAAAGTGATATTTTATATAGCAAAACTGAATTAAAAATTCTATTGATATATAAAAATTCTTTTATCACTACAACTAAAACATTTAATTTATATAAGTTGACTTGGTTCATCCTTACTATCACTACTCATTTGGAGAATTGGAAGGAGAAAAAAAACACCCTTTTAATGTACTTTAACTTATTTATTTGTGCTCCAATTTTTTTACAAAAAAAACAAAATTTATACTTTTTTATGAGCTTTCATATGACATCAATATTGCATGTATAAAATGATCAAAAAAAATATTGCATGTATAAAAAACAAAAAACATTATTTTATACAATAGATTTGGGTTAAAATCAATGAGGTGTTAGTCTCTTATTAGTAAAAATAAATTATTACTATGCTTATTTTCAATAATATTATTATTCAAGTGTATTGTTATTAATGTATTTTTATTGTTATCAGTATCTATAAGTGACTATATATTATTATCAGTATTTATAAGTGACTTTATTATTATTTACTCCCTTTGTCCCCCTTATATTGTCCCGTTTACCTTTTTAGAAAGTCCCACTAATATTGTCTCATACCATATTTGGTAAAGTTTGTGTGGCTCTAAATCATTCTTACTTTATCAATTAATATCAACCACACAAACCCACTTTTCTTAATAATCGTGCCACTCTCCTCCGTACCAATATAAAAGGGACGGAGGTAGTAGTATTTAACTATTTATAAGTGATTATTATTATAAAAGTGTAGGGTGTTGGTATCTATAATTTAATTACTCTGGGTGTAATAGTGATACTACATGTTATAAAGGTATTGACAACACTTATCAATAGTTAAAATTATAGTTATAGTTATAATGATAATTATAGTTATAAATATGATGATAAAAATGACAATGTTAATCATAATAATAACATAATCATACTCCTTCAAAAATACTAAAAACTATTTAGATCAGATCAGAATTATTTAGATCAGATTAAAATTAGAAAAACTCAGATCAAATTTAAAAGATTCAGACCAGTATGGAAAAATTCACATCGCGAGATCATACAAAATCAGACAAGATCAGAAAAAATTCAGATTAATTTAGACCAGATCTTAAAAAATTTCAAATCATAAATATTTATATGAGTCGTATTGAACTTCTTAATATCACTCATATTAGTGGAGTTTGATCCTCGGAATAAATGCCATATTAATTCAGTTTCCAAAATAATTGTACAACATCAAATTCCTTAAATAACGAGACTCTAATACATGTAGTAGGACTCTAATAATATAAAATTAAGGAAAAACTGTCAAATAGGTCCTTGGACTTTCATAAAAAGGTCAATTAAGTGCTTCTATAGGAGGTTCTGTCCGGCCGTCGCGATTTGGGACAGTTCCTAGTGGAATTTTTTGATGAATTTTTTTGAGCATCTTATTCACCAAGTCTAGCTTACTCATACCAAATTTCAGCTAAAAATTCAATCGGGAACACATTCAAATTAATTGTTGAAGATAAATGCACATTTTTGCGTTCTCGAATCAATTTGAATGCGCTCCCGATTCAATTTTTAGCTGAAATTTGGTATGAGTAAACTAGACTTGATGAATAAGATGCTCAAAAAATTTCATCAAAAATTCCACCGGGAACCGCCCCAAATCGTGACGACCGGACAAAGTCTCCTATAAAAGGACTTAATTGACTTTTTTATGAAAGTTGGAGGACCTATTTGACAGTTTTCTCTAAAATTAATCTTAGACATTTCAGTGAAGCTCTAATTCAAAACCAAATTTTTTAAATAATGGAACTTTAATTCAGGGGACGAGATTCTAATTGTACAATATTAATAATAAACGTGAATATCCTAAATAATGTAAATTGTAAACTTCACATGTTCCCAATTCCAATTTAACACTTCTTTTTATCATCCTTCATCATATAATTAGCTCTGTAAATAATTAATAACTATTACAATAATAAGCACATAAACCAAAATATAAACACAAATTAGTACTCCAAAAGATAGTAATTTTTCGTCCGTATTTCATGGTGGTGCTTATGAGTATTTGTCATCTGACCATATCAAATTAACACTACCGGGGCATGCCGGGTGTTACACTAGTAACATCTCAAAAGCTAGAAGATAGAAATTTATGCTTGCCAAATTAGACTCATGTAATGAGTGATTAGATTTCAAAGAGGCGTACCATGTTTGAATTTTGAATCATATCCCCTACGTATTTGTATATTTTTATTCTTTTGTTATATTTAAGTTTATCCGATTTAAAAGATCTAAATTAGTTTAGAATCACATTTTTATTTAACTAATAAATTATATAACTACATCTTTTCACACTTAGTATTAATACAGGTGTTTTCATTTAGGACTTAAAATAGTTATAAACACATATTCCATCCGTCTCTGAAATATTTTCAATAAATTATAAATAGTCTAATTAATATATTTATTTTAAAGAATTGTATAATAACTTTGTAGTGTGAACTTGCCACCTCTGACTCAAATTTTGGATATGTCATTGTGGATTAGATTACATGAAAAATTCTAAAAGATCAATTTCTTTATTTATTTTACCAAACACATTTGATTTCGTGGATCTAATTGTGTAATAAGCCAAATATGTAAAACTGGAATTAATAAATGAGCTATTATTTGTTTTACAAATTGAATGAAGTTACTGTAGAAAGTCATTTTAGCTACTTGAATTGCTCTTTCATTTCACAAAAGTTGACCAAATTTGACTTATATGTAGAATAATAAAGCGAATACTATGTGATTTAGAATTGTGCAGATGTAAGCTCAAAGAAATAACTTTAATCACATATTTATTAAGTTTAATGAAAATGACAAAATATTTTAGGAAAACTAATTCATGAAAATAGGAAATGTCCGGTGGGAGGGGAGGAGTATTTATTACGAATAATTTTTTCAGACGCTTTAACAAAAAAAAATCACCAATGTTTTCAGTCAATTTCAATAGGGAAAGTGCCTGAAATAGGACTAAATAGTTTGGAAATTCCAGAATAGGACTGTCATGTTTTTTATTCCCAAAATAGGAGTAATTACTGCCAAGGTTGGAAAATATTGCCATGTTTGAAGTCTGATACTGCCAAAACATGACATTAATTAGTCCTATTTTAGAAATAAAAACATGGAAGTTCTATTTTGGAATTTTCAAACCTTTTTAGTCCTATTTTGGGTAATATCTCATTTCGATATTATTACTAAATGGGCTTAAAGAGCACCTTGCAATCTCTTGTAAGATGGGCTCTAGTAGTCCAGTCCAGACACGGCAAGATTGAATGGACCGGGTAACTAAAAGTGCGCAATTTTGACGCTGTGCTCGAGTGCGTGTTTCATGGTGAAAGAAGAAGACTCTCATATGAATATGTCATGGATCTCTTACTGGAGAGGATCGGGTCGCTGTTAGTAGGGTTCCATTGACGAATCCATCAGACCGGCCGTGTTTCTTTTTTGCGAATCTAAACGGAATCTAGAAATTAATCATCTGAGAGGAAGATGTGGCATGAAGCAAGGAGGTCGGAGAAGAAAGTCCACGACATGATGGACGCCGCTCGGAAGAGAGCGCAGCGCCGAGCTATCTATCTGGCTAAGCGGCGGGGCGACCCCCAGCAATCTATCCAATCCGTCGGTACCCGTTGTCGCATCTATCGTGATGATGCCCTCTACCAAGCCACGGAGGATCAGCAGGGACTGTATGAATTCTCTCTCATTTCTCAGCTAAAACTTCTAGTTGCACATTTTAGTTCTTTTACATGTTTCAGTGATTGTATCCCAAGATGCTTTGTTATGATAGGTTAGTAATATTGGTGCATTCATTCACGTTAAACTGTTTTACGGGTTATCCACAATCATTTGGTGCTTATTATCATTGAATCCAAACTAGTTGGGGCCAGTTAGAGGAAATTTTAGCTCAAATTAATAGTTCAAGATTAGTCTAAACTATAAATTCATGTAGAAAACATAGTTGCAATGTTTTGTGGTAGAGGGCCTTACTTTTGTCTTTGATATTTTATTCCAAAGGATTAATGAGATGCAACCACACAATCGTTGTCATCATAGGCTATTGTCACCTCTATAGAAAATATCATGAGATACTGATTAGTTGAGATAGGTGCTACAGTCATGTCCTATTGTCCCATCACCATGCTAATTATGGAACATATCAGAATGAAATTGTTGGTACTGCAAAATAAAATTCTGTAAGGATCAATATACTTGAACTTAGATTGATCATACATGTTCATCATTTACATCAGGATACCTTGGAATGGCAAGCAGGACATTCTAATAGACAGGTACCTACTCAAGTCCTAATTTCTAATGTAGAGGGGAAATCATTGGTGTGCAATGTTAATGAAAAATTCTCTTGACAGATTTGATGGGCGTGCTCTTCTTGATTTTATCCGGAGCACCAGTTCACGGAATATTCATGCTCCGCAACGAACTGAAGAGGAAGAAGAACTAGAAGAGTTTGTTAATTTTGAGCGTTACCGGGACTTAATTAAGCATCGGCGCAGAGGATGTCGGTACTTTTTTGTTTTTTCTGATACCTCCTGCATTTTGTTCTTGAAGTGTAGAGTCATATGTCTCACTATTGGCATGGATGCAACAAATGAAAGCAACATGCCTTTCTTTCGCCCTTGTTTGATGCAAAAGAGGGGGAGACAATGAGAGGATAAATGGGGAGAGGTGAGGGAAGAAAATGGAAGAGTTTACAACAATGCCACACTTAGTTCGATTGAGGAATGAGGATAAGTTAGTGTTTAAGAAAAATATCTAAAAGAAATCTATTTTTATTTTGTTCTAACTAATAATTTAGCAATGCATATGTATATCAATGATAATGTGTAATAATGGGTAGAGGTGAGGGAAGAAAATGGAAGAGTTCACAACAATGCCACACTTAGTTCAGTTGAGAAATGAGGATGAGTTAGTGTTTTAGAAAAATATATAAAAGAAATCTATTTTTATTTTGTTGTAACTAATAATCTAGGTATGCATATGTATAGCAATAATAATGTGTAAGACTGCGTACACCCGACCCCCCCCTTACCCCACCATAGGTGGGAGCCTTTGCGGCAGTGGGGTAAATGAAAATGAAATGAAAATGATAGCTCCTCCAGAATACCCCAAATTCGGGTAGTGAGATATGAGGAGTTCGGATGAATGAGAAGTTCGGAGGAATCCATAGCTCCTCCAATTTCCTTCCTTTTCCATTCCTACTCCCCCAACCAAATGCTGCTTTCCACTTCCTCCCTTTCTCTACAAGGGTGTAGAGAGGCATATAATCATGCATTATATCTTTGGACCATTCTCTGTAAGCCCGTGCAAAAGCTGAAATTATTTCTTCACAGTCAATGATGCGGACGGCTTACAACACGTTAACCTAGAGATGGAGGCTAAGATTGCTGCTCAATTTGGTGCAGACAGGTTTTTCTGTGACACTTTTTTTCCTTTTTATATTGTATGAAAAATCTTACCTGCTCCGCCCCAAAGAAAGTATTATTTTAACCAGGGGCTACTTTATAATTTTAGAAAGGTGCATAAATTGATATAATTGTTGCGTTAAGGAAATTTCCAGCAGGAGCACTATGTTTTCCCCTAAAATAGAAGTTAGTTACTGCATCTCTAGACATTAATATGGCAGTATAAGTGCCATACTTGGTGGTATTTTCCAAACATGACAAGTATTTCACATTATGCTCATGTTCCCCCCCTGTTCTAACTAAATTTAATGCTTCTCTTGTTTGTGACACTTTTATGATAAAGAAAAACAATATTTATAGAAATCACCTTCTTTTCTTCAAATAGAATTTTTTGAAGGACACAAGTAAGATTACAACCAAGACTTTGGGGGTTGGAGGGTGGTGGTGGTCGACGAAGGGAATGTTTAACAAATATCTATTTGCCTTTTGTGAGTTTGTCGTTACAAATGTGATAGATCTCAAGTAACGCAGCCTTCAACAAACAAGGGATCTTATTCCCAAGTGGGGTTCTCTTATGATGGAGATGTAAAAGACGAGGCTCATTATTCAGATGTGGAGGAAGATGGTGATGATGAAGAGGAAGAAGAAGACGATTTTAATAGTGATGATAGCAATGATGAAGCAATGGAGTCAGTTGCTAAAGAATTTGGAGTGAAGAGATATGGCTGGCTCGTCTACATGGATAAAAAGGCAAAAGAGGAGGAAAGGAGACAAAAAGAAGTTATAAAGGGGGATCCTGCCATTGTAAGTATTTTTAAAGTTTTGGCTGAAATTATTTCTGTATATCTACTTATATAGGATAATGATCGTCACTTGGTGCTTTTTGCAGAGGAAATTGAGTCGAAAAGAGAGAAGAAAAGCTTCACAGCTCGAAAGAGAAAAGGAAAGAGAAGCTGCTCGTTTTACTGGCGTTAGACATTCCCATCATGATCCATATCGGTTGTTCTCATGGGTGTCTTCTTTGAGTTCAATAGGCTATTGCCCAGTTTGGTGTTGCTGTGGCTTTTGAGCTGCAACTCTTTTTGCTCCAAAAGTTTGTTTGGTAAAATAAAAGAAGTGTGTAGCTTGAAAGCCAAGTCTTTAAACAATTTTAAAGGCACAGGGCAGCCAAAAGATGCTTCCGTTCCACATCACCTAGCTTTTGATAAAATGCTACTCCCTCCATCCCATTGGACTTTGCCAACTTTTGTTTTGTGGTTGTCCCAAAAACTCTATCACTTTCCCATTAAAGTAACTACTTTGTGGTTGTACTCATTTCTCTCTTCTGTGCACAAACATCAACCACACAATTTTCTTAGTTTTTTTTTTATTTCTCACTTAATTCAAATTTGTCAAAGTCCAATGGGGCGGTGGCAATAGTTATTTAGTTAAAAAACAATCTTACAACACCACACTACCAAGCATTTCTACATTCACTACGTTTATATCATGAATTACCAAATAAACTTTTCCAACATATTTGAACATAATTAAAAACTAGTAATACCAGACTGCTCAAAAACTATTTAAAGCTTCATATTGTGGTAGTGTGGTCCAATTTTTAGGTGTTCTAATCTATTTTTGTGTGTGTCTGTTATGCAGTGAGTCGAGACGAAGTCCAACATACGAAGCTTATTCACGCTCTAAAAGGTGGTAATTTGTGTGATCTTGTTACCCAGTTCAAATGGGAATCGGGTTTAGTTTGTGCTGAATCTTTCCCCGTTTTTATAGTTCCAGGTCCAAGTCTCGGTCAAGGTCTCCCTCACACTCCCGGCGTTATAGTCGTGGAACTCATTATGATGACGTGGAGCTGGGAAGAGTTCCAAAGATAGAGTACATAACTGAGTTTGGGGGTTCAGATAATGAAAAAGAGCCTAAATTTGAAGGATATTCTCCACCTCGGAGTCCTCGATCTCAAGCTGATGATTCACTAAACCGGTCGGAGCACTTGACCTTTTAATTCTTGCAAAAGCTTCATTGGACAGTCTTTACTCTGCTGCAGAATATCATCCTATGTGTTTCCTGATGACCCAATCTTTAAATGTTGTTTAGTTAGGATATCATGACTTCCAGGGATAATAGAAGGAAACCATTGTTCTGAAGCTTGGTTTTGAATGAAATCGACGAAATTATGAGTGCATTTGACTTGCCACATTGAGATCAGATTTATCTAATGCTCGTGTTTTTTGCAGGCCATCATCTGGTCTCATTCTTGAAGCTCTTCATGTAGATCCTGCATCAGGGGTTTCAGTTGATAAGGAAAAGAATGTCAAATTACACAAAACACCAATAAGGTTTTGTTTTCCCATTTCATGCAGTTCACACTAAGTATAGTGAGATGATTCTTTTTTGCTTCACAATGTGCTGTTTGTAAAAAGTTAACTAATATTTGATGACATTTTTTCGTCATTTTTCCCTTATTCAAGTCGCCTATATGCTAAAATAAATCTTAAGGTAATATTGTATAGTCTTTCTCCATTTCTTAACTCCCAAATCTCCTTTGTATGCTTGATTTCTCCACTTTTAAATCTCCTTTATGTGCTTTGATTTCTTCACTCCTAAATCTCCTTTATATGCTTGATTTCTTCCTAAACAACCATTATTCTGTCCTGGAGAAAGTATGCATTATTATTCTTTCAATATCAGGTCCTAACACAATTTGCTTGTTCTTTCTTCATTTTTTGTTTCTATTAACAGCTCAACATCTGCAGTAGCAAAATTAAGCAAGACCCCAACTAGCTCAATCCTCTCTAAACAACAGGGAGAAAAGAAGGAAACTCCTCAGGAACGGCTCAAGCGAATCATGAGCAAACAGCTGAACAAACAAAGTATAATGATTTTTTTAATCTTCATCTCAGGAAATGTACATAATTTAATTAAATACTACTCCCTCCGTCCCATTTTATGTGTCTTACTTTCCTTTCTGGGTTGTCCCAACACAAGTGTCTTGATTCCTTTTTCAGAAAGAAATATGTGGTCCACATCTTTTCACTCTATTATATTCAAACCTCAACCACAACTTTTTTTTTTCAATCAATTTATTAATAATTGTGCCAAACCACATAAAATGGGACGGATGTTGTAATATTTTCTTCACTTTTTAAAATCAGATTTGCAAAATTAAGGATCTCGACCATCTTCACCTTTACGTAGATTATGTCATGTAATTGAATATAGTTCTGTACTTCTGTATACTACACTATGAAAACAATGTATGCATATTTTGCAGTCAAGAAAGATACAGCTATTGAAACAGCAAAGAAGCGAGAACAAGAAAGACTGAGGCTTGAAAAACTTGCAGAAACAAATAGATTAAGTCGACATCGTCATCGAAGCCGCAGTAGAAGTTACAGTCGGTCCCCTCCAAGGTAGTAAATGAAAATAAGTTATAACAGCTTAACGTTGAAGGTTGCGTTCGGGGACTTCCTTAAAAAAGAAGGTTCATTTTACATTTAGACTATCCTAAGTATTCTTTTAGCGACTTTCTTGTTGCTTTTATTTCTTGAGCTTTTAGTTTTATACATAAAAGACTCGTTTCCATGTTTTATCATGATTTTCTCACCCTAATTGTCCAATTAGTGTTGATCAGTTGAGGATCATTTAGCTCGCTATATAGCTGCTTGTAGTGTTGCTACTTTGCTGACTCCGTCTCAATGTAGTCATTTTGACCAACTTGCAGTTTTTATTTTACTTTGACAAAGTACAGCTGTCATATAGTGTTGTATGTAGCTTGTTGAATGCTTTCTTTGAAATCATGAAAATTTAGCTTTATTTGATCAAAGTGAACTCCTTTTGGGGTAAAATGAAATATGACTCTTTTTGGGATGGATAAAGGAAATACGTAGTATCTTTTAAGGATTGCACCACTTTCACTTGTGCAGAAGATACCGCCGCAGCCGTAGCCGTAGCCGCAGCAGAGGTCGGAGTTCACAAAAGTCCCGCTCAAGGTCAAACTCAAGGTCAAGGTCTCCTGGTCATTCACACTCCTATTCCCGATCTCGTTCACCTCGGTAAGATTTCCTGCATTTATATTCTCCATTTTACCATCTCTTGTGCTAGCTGCTTGACCTGATAGATTGGAAACACATTACAGGGTTAGGAGGAGGTCAAGATATTGATATAGTTGCTGCAAGTTGTGGCATGTTTCATCTGTCTTACTTTGGTGTCACGTAGGATAAAAACATGATTTTTGTTGTAATTTTTGTTATGACATACTGAAATGTATTTACCAGATTTGCAAAGCTCTATGTAGACTGCAAGCTTAATTGAGTTCGTGGATAATGTCTGCAATTGCTAGGTGTTGCAAAACATGATTTACTTTCAGGTTCTTAACTTCCAAACAAAATATAAATTGAGATTCCCCTTAAAAATACTTACTGAAATTAATTCTTAGTCATTAAAAATCGAATGTAAATATTAAAAATATTTATTCAGTCGTTCTTGCGTAAAATTGAACGTTATCATAGTTAGTATCATGCCACTTGGTACAAAAAAGCCAAAATTTTGTTAACTTCCAAGCAAAATATAAATTGAGATTCCACTTAAAATACTACATTCATTAAAAGTTAGTATCATGTCACTTGGTACAAAAAGCCAAAATTTTGTTTGACTATATTTTTGTAATCCAGTTTCTGTGGTATATTTGAAATCGACTTTTAAAGTTCCACTTGACTCTTCAATTGTGATTCTTACCAAAGGTGTAAATGTTAAAAAACTCGTACACGATGACCATAAGTAGTCATGGACTCGGGCCGGGCTGGGTCCGGTCGGGCTTTTTTGGGAAGGAAGAATCAGAATCGGCCCTGGTAGGCATCGGTTCTGGGCCGGGCCGGGTTGGTTCATGTTATTTTTTTAAAAAAAAATCTTTTGCTTTTCTAATTAACCCCCGACCCCCCCCCCCCCCCCCCTCACTCCCACCCCCCAAACCCCTCCAAAAATTGAAAAAACCAAAAAAAAAAAGGTCGGGCCGGTTTCCGGCCCAAATTGGGCATGTTCCACTTTTAGGAGGACTTGGCCCAATTAATTCCGGGCTCGGATGGCCCGGACCGGTCCTATAACTGGGTACCAGGCCGGGCTTAAATAGTACCAGTTCCGGGCCGGGCTGCCCGACCCGAGTCCATGACTAACCATAAGTGTATGTTAGAGTGATCCAAATACTAAAAAGGAAATCAAAAACAAAAACGCAAACACTAACAATGAAAAAACTCATTTAGTAACTCAAAATGTGGCATGTGGAGTCCAAATTTTAAACTAAATACTATCCTCCGTTCTTTTTAGTTGCAACATTCTCTTTTTCACGCTTGTCAACGCACAACTTTGACCATCATTATATTTAATTCTCGATCTATTAGTAAAAAAAAATTAAAAATCAAATTATGAAACTTTGTAATGAGATGAATTTAACAATATTTTTCAAAAATAATAATTCACAAACTTTAATAAATAAAACGTATTCAAAGCAGTGGCGGAACCAGGACTCGTGACTCGCAGGGGCACAATAACAAAGAAATCATATACTACGTACAACTCTAAAAAAAATCATATGCATCACGAATATCACAATAAACCAAACTATAAAATTTAAATAAAATAACTACTTAAAGAGTACCTTAATTTTGATTAGAACCTAACACGTTAAATGAAGAAGATTCATTGAGAGGCGGCAATCTTTGTCTTCGAGGGGCCATATTCTAAAATCGCTTCATAATGACTTCATTCTTAATTTTAACAAATACATCTTTTTCAATGTAACACATCAAACAATCTGTCAAGTATTCTTCTCCCATCTTGTTGCGCAAATCACCAACAATATCATCATCGGACAATTCAACTTCTATTCGAGTCTTTTTAACATTATTGTCCTTGTTAGTAATGACATTATCTGATGAAGAAACTAAATTATTCGATGAAGAACCACCAATGCTTGGCTGTTTAGGTTCCCGTGTATAATATCGTAACATAGCAATATTTTGTCAAACAACCTAGGCCAATTACAATTGAAATAATATGAGTATAATTGTATAAATTACATTATAACAAATTAACAACATTAACTAAATCAATAAATACACAATTATAAATTTACAATATAATTAACATTTTAATGAGATTATCAGTTATCACAACATAATTGCCAAAAACTTCAACACTGTATTTGAATTCAACATATAAAAGTATTCAACAATTAACATTTTATTTGAATTAAACAAATACAATACAATACAATACAATACAATACAATACAATACAATACAATACAATACAATACAATACAATACAATACAATACAATACAATACAATACAATACAATACAATACAATACAATACAATACAATACAATACAATACAATACAATACAATACAATACAATACAATACAATACAATACAATACAATACAATACAATACAATACAATACAATACAATACAATACAATACAATACAATACAATACAATACAATACAATACAATACAATACAATACAATACAATACAATACAATACAATACAATACAATACAATACAATACAATACAACAACATCCAAGCCTTAATCCCAAAAGATATTGAGGTCGGCTAACATGTATCGATACATGATATCACCACCAAAAGGCTTCTAGTTCCTACTCACTGACTCACTGTTGTGATTTGCTAACGTTGTAGCTTGAACGCAGTAGCTTGAAGCCTTGAACGTTGACTCGCTTTCAGTTTCCGTCTTTGTAGCTCGAACTTAGCTATTCAGGGGCAGACCGCTTGAGTTGGGACTTGGGGTCTTGGCGTTTTGGCTTTCGGGGAGTTGTGTTGTGGGCTGCCCCAGGAAAGGAATTTTGGGATTGGGCTGGCACAAGGGAAAGGGCTAAGGTAAAGGGCTTTTGGGATTAGGCTGCAGGGGCTCAACTAATTAAATATTAATATATGTATAAATATGTTATATATAAAAAAAATCACTGCAGGGGCACGAGCACCCCCGGGCACTAGGCTGGTTCCGCCCCTGATTCAAAGTAGAGTACATGAATAGTGTGTAAATTTCAATGTTGCAACTAATATGATACGGAGGGAGTACTTATTATGTAAACACACAAGTGCTCGCTGTAAATGTTACTTCGTATCATTTATCAAATATTTATAGTGAAGCAAACTGATACATTTAAAACCACTACGATTGAATAAACGATGAAAGTATATATAGTAAAAGTGTAGGGGATTTTAAAAATAATCATTTAACTGCACAGTTATCTTCGAGAATTAGTTTGAATGCGTTCCCGATTGAAGTTTTAGCTGAAATTTGGTATGAGTAAACTAGACTTGATGAATAAGATGCTAAAAAATTTTCATCAAAAAATTCCACCGGGAACCGCCCCAAATCGCGACGGCCAGACAGAGTCTCCTATATAAGGACTTATTTGACCTTTTTATGAAAGTTCGAAGACCTATTTGACAATTTTTCCTTAAAACAGCAAATCAAATTGAATAAGTTTCTACATTCAATTAATTAAATAATCACTGTGTGACAACAAATCAATTCATTCTACATGTCTACGTAGAGATAATAGAATATGTTCACAGTCAGGGGCGGATCTGCCAAGGGGGGCAGGGGGGCACTTGCCCCTGCTTCGGCCGTGCGAGTTAGGTATAGGGTTGGGTCCTGGAGGTCCGCCGGCGGGTGGATAGTTTCCGGCGTTCAAGGGCTGCAGACTGGACAGTCGACAGGAACGAAGGGGAAGGCTGTGTTTTTTACTTAAAAGGAAACGATGTCGTTTCTTTAATGGGCAACTAAAAAAATTACTCCGTACAACTCATGGTCAGTTGGGCCAACTGCCAAGGCCAAACAACCCAAAGCCCCAATTCCCCAAACCGCTAGGACCAGGCTACCAGCAGAAACGGATCCCAAATGAATCATTGTGTATTATTTAATTATATTATACGAGTATTATATTGAGATTGTTGTACATGTAAATCTGTAGTGAATCAACTAGTTACGTATTATTAATATTAAATTATTATTAGGGAATGTCAATTGGGAATTTATTTCCCGGACTAAATTAAAGCACCGATAAATGCGAGTGCTAGTTTTTCAAATGTTTTTGTCCGAGCTACACCTATAGATACGAATGTGTAGTCTCTTACATAGAAAAAGATGTGTTTAGACGTGTCGATAATGTGATTAGAGCATCTCCAGCGGTCAACTAGACACCTCTTAGCTTTGCTTGTCACCTCAGTTTTTTCTAGCTAATCCATTTTCCAGCAATGTGATGGTCCAATGGTTAGCTACAACCCTTGCCTCTTGAATAGGCTCCACAAATCAATCAATATTGAAATATACATTTTGAATGAATTTTATTGTTAATATAATAAAAATAATATTTATTTTTAAATATTTTCAAATCGATCAAGTTGACAAGCAAACATAACCAAACTTCTGGCAAATTGATCAAGTTGGTCATCAACTATAACTTTGACCAAACATTAATCCAACACTCAACATTAAGTAGACGAGGGTGAAAATGCATATTATTAAAATTAGTATAAAAATATGTATTTTGTTAGGTAACAAAATAAGGAATACAAAATTTGCTCAAAAATATTCTATATGAAAAATATCAACTGTATCTTAAGTATTTCATGAAAAAATCATTGGGTTGCACTTCTGTAATTAACGGTAATATTAAAACCCTTTTAAACATTACCGTTGTTGACTTGCTCTTTAATTAGATTTGTATATTAATTATAATAAATAAATTAAATATATTTGGGAGTTACCATTTTAGTTCAATTTTCTCTCCTTTCTAGCATTTAGCTTGTTTTGGCTAATTAGCTTGTCCAAGCTAGAAGGTAATATACACTCCAATGGTAGGCTACTAGCTTGAGTATTTTAAAAAATTGCAAGCAAGTCCTTGGGAGGAACCATTGAAGATGCTCTTATTATCCAACATACGAGCATAATGACGTTTAGATGAAAAAAATTTGATTTAGCATCATTACATTAGCGCTTTTGATTAAATCTATTATATTTGGTATGATTTGTTAAGACTTAAGACACTGTTATTATTAATTTGATGGTTTATATTATGCGATTGTGCCCCTGCTTAACTTATTTCCTGGTTCCGCCACTGTTCACAGTTAAAAAATCAAGGGTGAAAAATAGCCACTATTTAAGAGAATTTGGCAAGTAATTTTAAATAATAAGAAAAAGGACAGCAGAACTGCAAAGCATTCCAAATCAACCACAATCGGAATTTGGAAATACGACTAAAAACTGAAGTACTGAACAAGGTAACAAAAACTAGAAGTACATTGAAATACTTCTTTGGCAGACTAGCCAAAGAACAAAGAAATTTGGATCTTCACTTTGCTCGGCATTTATGTTGCTGCTACAACACACTTATTAGTTTCTTTGGTACGCTTTTTTCCCTTCCTCCTAAATAATTTAAACACTCCTTCACAAATGATAAGCATAATTCAACCTTTCCCTCCCTTTCAAAACCTAACTCTCATGCATACCCTTAAAGTCATGCTATTGAAATCATTATGCTAATCATTTGTTGAAATATAATTTAATCACTATATATCTTAAGCATTTATGTTTTATAGCGATTAGATATTGGAAATAGGGAGTTTCTGAAGGAATTATAACTAAAATCGCTTCCAAGATATGACAAAATTAAATAGTTTAAACTCACATTCATTTTAAATTGAGATGAAGTTATCATGTAATTTGTTGTCCTTCAAGATTGAGCATTTGAAGGGAGGGCCATAAACCCTCTTCCTCCAGACAATGAGTTTGAGAAACGCATAAGACCAGAAGTCATCCTTGCGCATGAGAATGGAGTGACATTTGAAGATGTTGGTCATGCTTCCGCTTCGAAGACCTGACCTCTTTAATGGTGGTCTTCTTAAGCCCTCCAGAGGCATATTGCTCTTTGGTCCTGGTACCGGGAAAACTATGATGGCTAAGGCAATTGCAAATGAAGCCGGAGCAAGCTTCATAAATATCTCGATGTCAACAATTAGTTCTAAATGGTTTGGTGAAGATGAAAAGAATGTTAGAGCTTTATTCACACTTGCTGCTAAGGTGTCTCCTACTATCATTTTTGTGGATGAAGTTGATAGCATGCTTGGGCAACTAACAAGGGCTGGAGAACATGAAGCCATGCGGAAAATCAAGAACGAGTTCATGACACATTGGGATGGATTGTTGACAAAATCTGGTGAGCGAATTCTGGTTCTAGCAGCAACCAATAGGCCGTTTGACCTAGATGAAGCAATTATCAGGCGCTTTGAGCACAGAATTATGGTTGGGTTGCCTTCAGCAGAGAGCAGAGAAAAGATCTTGAGAACTCTTCTAGCGAAGGAAAATGTAGAAAACCTTGATTTAATGGAGCTTGCTGCGATGACTGATGGATATAGTGGAAGAGTGATCTTAAGAACTTGTGTACAACAGCAGCTTATCATCCTGTGAGAGAGCTAATACAACAGGAGATTCAGAAGAACATGGAAAAGAGGCGCAAAGGTGAAGAAGGGCAGAGCTCAGATGCTGCTGCTCCAGATAAGAAGGAAACCATGGCCGAGAGAGTTATCACTTTGAGACCTCTAAACATGGAAGATATGAAGCAAGCAAAGAATCAGGTTGGGGCTAGTTTTGCTGCTTAAGGATCCATAATGGGTGAGCTTCAGCAATGGAATGACTTATATGGTGAAGGTGGCTCCCAAAAGAAGCAGCAACTGTCCTACTTCCTTTAAATTGCCAGTCAGATACATGCATCCCTTGTTGGGAGGACAATCTATCTGTAATTATATATGTAGTATAACAGAACTTATCCAGCCCCTAGATTATAGTTCTATTCATGTCTTGTGTATGATACTATGATATATAAATATATCCAAAGGGTTGACTCTTAAAATCTGAGAGTAACTTGGATGTATTTGCACTGCAGTAGGTACACTGGAAATAGAATATAAATATTAGGTATTTTCTACGGTGCCCAAAAAAAAATTAAACCTAACTCCTAAACATACCCTGAAAGAAAAATTCTTATTTCTGTAATGTAAACCGGAAGCCCCCATACATAATCACACGGCCTACAATAAATCAGGCAAAATAATCCCATGCAATCCAGTAACTTTCCTAAGTAATGGTCAAATAAAACTAATTTGAAGATCATCATAAACAAATGGACACAAGAAAAAATTGAGGTAGGTAACATTAAATAGCCTAATGATATCATTCCATGAGCTACACGCCTACACTTGCTGCAGTCCACAGTACCTAACACCACATTTGGACCCCACACAGGGGTTATGTAAAAGTTAAAACCTCAACCTATCTAGAAATATGTGCTCCCGCTAATGCCAATTAAGTTGTCATCTAGATGACTGCACTATTGCTGCTAAACATTAGACGCTCTTCGTGCAGAGATGTCTTTTCTTCAATGACAGACACCCAAGTTTCAGCCACTTTGGTTATTTTACGATCTTCAAATTCCACCACAGTGAAGGCCCGGATTGAACCTCCATTGTCAGGATGTTTCACCCTTGGAACAATGGCAGCATTCAGATACATGGTATTGTCAGCATCAATGTGTATCATCTTCCGGAACCCTCCTTTTGCCAGTTCGCTATGCATGTGCCCGAAAACAACCAACGGTACGTGATGATTGGTGGTTTCTTTTACCAGAGATATCGCTTGAGCTAAATCTGCATCATGAAATGAGCAAAATTGAAGCTCATGCCATAAGATCAAGGACCTGTTAATCTGACAATAAGTTGTAAAGAGTCGAAAAGAGGGGCACTGGTCAAAAGTACCTGGATCCCCGTGGTCACCTCCCTCACACTCCCAGTCTCTGCCGCAAATGTCATCGATATTAGAACCTAGACCTGAAAAATAGACTCCATGTGTCAGGCAAACAAACATACACATTGTATAAAAAACAATATTTATAAGAATACTCAGCACTTGGTACTCTTGCAATCATCTACAGAAAGTCAGAAACTAATGAATGAATCATCACAAAGATTCTAAGGGTGTTTGAACTGATAGGGTTGTGAGAAACCATTCCTTATGACGAAAGGGGGGGGCATTATGTCCTTTTTCTCTTGGCTGTTCAATTTGTATGGGCTTTTTAGTTTAATGTTTTTATTCAGTGGACGTGGTTATTGGCAAGAACTTATAGAATCCATTATTTGGGCTATCAGGAACACACTTCAGCTATCTATGCTCACTATCCTGTCAAGTAAAACTTGTGCATGGAAATTAGAAAAGATGATATCAAGAGATATTAGAAGGAAATAACAAAGGGGCCATTTAGACCACAGAAACACATGTGATGAGAAAAAGATCATATGCTTCTAATTCGAAACATAACACAGTTACATTATGCCTAACAACAGGATAACGCGCACATAAAGTACATCAATGTCATTGGTATCAGATAGAAGTGAATTTGCAGGTACATGAGAACATCTTTACAGGAGCTAGGAAGAGAACAAAGCTAATTAAAAGTTCAAACCAGTAAATCACATTTGAGAAAGCCACCAGCATTTTTACTCTATCGACCTCTTAATTCTTCTCGAGAAGTACACTAAATTCACTAAGGAGTTAGGATTTGATTGGTTTGGGGATTCCGGAGGAAAGGGAAGAGACTATTGATTTTTATTTCACTATCTAATCTCTACTCCGTATTTGTTAGTTTCAACTACAAATAACTATTGTGATGAGTTATTTTGAAATATAGCCTTTTTATGTTCACTCTATTTCCAGCCATTTAAATGTAGAAGATTAAAAAAAGATTTATCATCCATCCCCTCACCCAACATTCCCGACTTGTCCAATTGTTGGGGAGCAGTTTTGGGATATAAAACGGACCTCGCCAAAAGTTAAATTTCAACTAATCTTAGCCAGAACCTGACACCCTAACAAGTACCCTATTCTATCTAGTTTTTTTTTATTAACTAGTTCCAACTTATGCTGCAACGGGTGATTCGCTAAAAGTGAAACTGGTCACCTGTCACGGACTCACGGTTAGAGTAGGCGGGGTTTACTTATTTTCATCTTTGAGTTGATTTGACGCTAGAAAATGATCTATTGTTTGGGGTGAGAGTGTGAGACCATTTCATAGTTTTTGGGTTAAACCCCAATCTTCCCTTCTTTGGGTTAGACCACATTAGACTATTGGAGGGTGTAGACATCCTCATTTACCAAGATGCCAACCACTTTAGAAATTGAAAATTTCAGGTTATTTGAAAATGAATGAGAAATTATGGATGAGAGCACAGATTCCAGCAATTTGATCCAAGAAAAAAAATATGGATATACACATACATAAAGAGCATTTTCTTTAGTGAACTTGATGCAATTAGTACCTGATGGTCCGTTATGAGCAAGAAATATAATAGAGTGCTCGTTTGGAGTTCCTATAGCAGCCTTGTGTATTTTCTGTGCACTTTCTTCCATATTATGGACTCCATATCTGAACAGACCATCAAGTAATAGGTAGCATAAGAAGGCGAAACAGATGTTGTAAGGAAAAAATGCAAAAAACATTAATGTTATTATAAGATGAGAATGAAAACAATGAGTGTGATATTGCTTAGAACGGCCAAACAGACCTGCTATTGCACAACAACTGCACTGTGTGAAACAGAAGAATGAAGAGCCCGTTTGATCACGCTGTTTTTCGGCTTATTAGAGTATCAGACTCATTAACCAAGTTTTTCACCATGTAACTTCAAATTTCGCATGCTGAATTGTGTAATATTAAGAAAAAGTATAGCCGGATTTACTTTTCCCGGGCTGAAATTATTGTATAGGATCATTTTAGGTGTTTTTTCATATATTTTTTTGTTTATTTTAATAATTAAATATATTTTAAATACAATCGTATAATTTTTTCACGAATCAGCGGATCTAGCCACTTCAACTAGAACATTATAATACAACCGATTTGGTATTACCAAACGGGCTCAAAATCATCCAAAATTGCAACGTGAAATCAATAACTAAATAAATATTATACCTTGCAGTTATAAGCTTCTTCCTGAACAACTGATCGCCTCCACAGGAAAAAGGTCTCCCGCCTACAACCCTAAGCTGGAATGCAGGGAAGTCCAGGTGAGCGTATCCGACGTGCTGTTCACCAAAGCATTCCAGCTGAAGCTGAACTCCGTCCTTTGTCTTCTTAGTGAACTTGGAAGTCGACCACGAATCGTGGTTTCCAAGTATTGCTGCTTTGGGAATGTTAATCCCCGCCGCGATAGCCCTAACAAGCTCGACATTCTCATTGCCGAAGTCGCCGGTGAAGAGCACTAGATTCGGCTGTAAATGCTGAAGTGCCCGGAAGTCATGTGCTGATTCCCAATCCTCGTGGATGTCCCCCACGATAACAATACGGAAGGAGGAAAGTACAGATGACGGCGATAAACAGGGAGTCTCAGCCTCCATGGCTGCCGGTGAATTGCTCGCAGTTTTGAGAGGTTGGGCCGGTGAAATACCTATTTTGAGGCAATTTATACCGTGCAACAGTTGCACCATCCTGATGGTTGCAAAACCAAGCATGCTTCCTTCAAAAAGACTTCATTCAAAACGATGCAGAGCTTTATTCCATTATTTTTTTTTCTTTTATTGTTAAAAAGTATAATAACTTTTTGATTTGATATCCGATTTTTATAAATTTTATATCAAAATTTTTTATTTTTCATGATCTATCAAATGAGACCAATATTGCTTATGTAATTTTAACAAATTATGGAACTATTATATAAATGATTATTGGATTATAAGGAAAACCGAACTAAATTTAATACAAAAAAAAATATTTGTGTAAATCATAATTTATCTTAAAATTGTGTATATAAAAAATCATTGAGTTACATGTGAGTTACATATTTTTATATGTGAAGTTACATATTTTTACACGTAAGTTACATATTTCTACACGCGAGTTACATATATATACACACGAGTTGCATTTGACCTACCTGAACGCGAGTTACGTATATTTACACATAAAGTTACATATTCTTACACGTAAAGTTACATATTTATACACGTGAGTTACATATTTATACACACGAGTTACATTTGACATATCTGAACGCGAGTTACATATTTTTTTACGTAAAGTTACATATTTTTACACGTAGAGTTACATATTTATACACACGAGTTACATTTGGCCTGACTGAACGTGAGTTACATATTTTAACACGTAAAGTTACATATTTTTACACGCAAATGTTAATATGTTAAAATTACATAGGCAATGTCAACCACAATGTCTACATCTAGACATTGTGCTTGACATTGTGAAGAAAAACTTACCAAAATGATGTAAGATCCTTCAAATAAGAAGAGAGATATTCTATTTATTGTTTTTTAATTGGTCATTTCTCATGCCGCGTATGCACTGTTAACGTTTTAGCATTGAAGATCTCTTAGAGCATCACCATTCCTAATCCCGTAAAAATCATATTTTCTAGCATTCTTGCCTTTTAATTATTCTTACATAATTAATTTTTAAATAATCTCAAAATCCATTTATGCCTCCCAACCATCATCTTCAAATAATCCGCTTTTTTCTCCGTCCGACATTAACGTATTACACATACTTTTCAAATAATCTTAAGATAATCCGGATTCATATTTTGATCCCAGATTATTCTAGCAAATAATCTCATTAAATAATCAATGTCTCCCAATGATACTTCTCTAAAAAATCTGCCACGTCACTAATTTGATCCCTCAATAATCCTAACAATGAGGATGCCCTTAGCAATGCACAAATCCAATTAATATCCAGCCTCTAAAATTGCGGACCAATTATTGCACTCAACCCAAACCCCTACACAAATTCTCAATTACACGCAAATTACCTAATTAGAACCTAATTAGTATTTCCCAATTATACGTGCTTTATTTTTTTTAGAGTAATGATCACAAAAAAATCTTATAGATAAATTATAAATTGGTGTAAAACCATGTACTGTGCAGAAACTATTGTCACATGTCTTTTTCTTAGCAATTATATTCATACTCCGCATAATTTATCTCCTTCCTATATTCAATGACTGTAAAAGATAATTTAGGAGTACACTTCTCCTAGAATTCAGGAGTGCACTTCGTATATTCCTTGATAGATTGATTATACCGGTGGCGTATAGCTCAACTGGTATTTCTTTCTCCTTCCTCGAAAATTTTGTGTTTCATGTTATTCTTTTCTCCTTCACACAAATCTCAATCTCACAACTTTTAGTTTATTATTTTTCGTGCTTATCCAACTTGGCAAGGTTATAAAGGATAGAGATAGTAATAATATTGTTATGTTCAAGTAACTTAAGGTCTCAATAAACATATGGTTGTAATTCTATTATCAAAGTGTAATTGTAAAGAATTTAGTAGTGAAAAGTTGTTTCAAAATGTACATTTCCTTTCAGTTTTACTAATATTGATTATAAATTCATAGGTGATGAAAATTAAGATGTCGAGAACTCGAGATGAGGATATATTTTACACACACACACACACACACACACACACATATATATATATATATATATATACATGAATAATCGACAGTTATTCATTGAGATTTCTAATCATTGAGATTATTATTCTCATTATTTCATTTAAAATATGATAAAATATGGAGCATGATAACATGATATATATGAACTTATTAGAAGCAGATTTCTAATCATTGAGATTATTATTCTCAGTCTTTCCTTTAAAATATGATAAAATGCGGAGCATGATAGCATGATATATATGAAACATGGTATTTGAAAATCTGATAGAAATTTTTTATTTTGTCAAATAAATGTTAGTTTCCATTGCCTTAACATAATTTTACTTTATCCCTCCGATTATTATATACCAAATTAAAATTAGTGTCTTGATTAAATTGCAAATCATTGAACTGTCACTTGACTTTGACTTGCGATATAGGAGTAGCAATTAGGGATGGCAACGAGGCGGATCGGGGACGGTTATACATATAATTGTACCCGCCCCGTTGGAAAATTCCCCCGCCCCGTAACTGCCCCATTTCCCAACGGGTAATTTTTTCTCAAACCATAACCGCCCCAACAGGTAACGGGTATAACCGCGGGTAACCGCGGGTAATCATTTTATTAAATGAGTCATTAATATTTTAATATAAAAATAGTATTTTAAAAGGCGAAAAATGACATCGCCTAGACGACTCTAGACTCATACGCCACTTTGAAGTTTCGTATATCTACAGGGCGTAAAAGAAGACAATCTCAATTAATTTGAATCTAAAAATACTTAATCTTAGATATAAATATATAATTAATAACGAAAAATCTGATATTAATTAAACAAGACTATTAAAATCTATTATGAACTTTCATTCATACACTATAGTTAATAAATCTATTATTCATATATACACAAGGAATTTTTTTGATCATATATACACAATGAAAATAGAAAAATATCATCTTGTAGTAGTTGTAGGACAAATAATACATAAAAAGGTAATAAAAAACAACTTAAAATAAACGGGGCAAGTACGGGGCGGGTAATGGGGCGGGCATGTATAAAACCGTAACCGCCCCATTACCCGTAAAAATAAAATGGGTATTCCCCGCCCTGTACCCGTTACCCGGTCAATGCGGTTTTCCCCGTTTTGACCGGGACGGTTCGGTGCGGGTATCCATCGGACTGGTCACAATTGCCATCCCTAATAGCAATTATTATTGCTTAAATCGATGGTAATCATAATTAATTACATCTTATTTAAGTATAGATGGTGGAAAAAAGTTATTTCATTTGGATGAAACTTAATTGAGCTTTATGTAACAATGAACCAATTACAAATCAAGGAAATATAAATTACAGGTGGTTTTTTAATATCTACTTACTCATTTATAAGTCTTTAATTTTTTAATAAAAATAATTGTGGTCACTAATGTAATACTTCACTTTAATTTCAAAAGATCAATAATACTTTGTATTATTTATACCAACAAGGTATATCTAGATTGTATTGATTTGTAAAGACAGCACTAGATGTTTGGATGAATTTAGAAGTAATTACTTTGCATCCCGTGAAGTGGGGGTGTTACAATTAACATGAATTTAGTATTCTAGAGAAAAAGTTGTACTATGTGTGCTAATAAATATGTACAAGTATAAAGTGAAGATATTTACAATTCACATCGAAATTGATGTACGGGCTCAAATATGTTAGTAATTAGCAATAATAATGTTATAAATGTGTTAGTAATGTTATAAATATGTGTGTATGTATGTATATGAGGAAATAACTTTAAAAAATACCGCAAAAAATTTCTGCAATACCACACAAACAATTAAGTAGATTATTGATTTTGGTAATTGAATACTTATATGTAATTATTATGGTCAATATAAGTTTTATGAGAAATGTGATTAAACTTTATAGCGATAATAATAACATTGATGCAAATGATATAATAGTATAATACATAATAAAAGTAATGTAATAATAGTAATAATAATTTATCAATAATATTTGAAATTATCATAATGCAAGTATGTAAATACTTGATAGGTACCACGTGATTAATTTTTATAGTTCAATGCTTATGTTAGTAATTTTGATGAACATGTTTTTATAAAATATTAGTCTAATGAACCAAATGTGAACCACAATTCTAATTTTTCTAACAAGATATCTTAAAACCACGCATCTAGCTATATACTACCTTCATCCCAATCTGGTTTATAACTATCGAAGTATGATTCAGTCTGAGGTATGTGAATTGTTTAATTCTGGTATAACATGTTCATGTTTGATATGAAATTTGTCCAAGTAAAAAGATATCATTCCAACTACGTACTACGTAGTGAGTTTTTTCCCGAAATACTGTTAAATAAATAAATATTTCCGAAAACAGTGTTGGGTTAAAAGTATTTCCCAAAATACTGTTGGGGTTAACTGCAGTTAAAAAACCACCACTTCACGTGGCGGCTTATGTATAGTCGTAACTCGTAAACATTAAGCTCGCAACACTCCAGGCTGAAGCACAATTTGAGTAAGGGTCCACCACCTATTAAAATTTCATTTTCTTTTAAAGTGGTATACCTTTTTTATTTGTATTGTGATTGTTATGAAAAATAAACCAAAATTCATAACTTTTTATTATCTTTTCATATGACACCAATATTGAATATATAAAAAAAATTGTTGCTTTAAAAATATCTATTTTTTATAGTGCTATAATAATTTTATATGTACTCCGATCGTTATAAAAAAATATATCGAAGTTGATAATATTTTATTATCTTTCATATGAGACCAATATTGAATATATAAAAATGAAAAAATAATTTTACACTTCAAAAATATCTAGTTTCTTAAAGCATTATATGTTTTTTTGCAGTCCGATTATTACAAAAATATATCAAAATTCATACTTTTTTATTATCTTTCATATGATATCAATGTTGCATATACAAAACTAAAAAAAATATTCTATTGATTTTTGCAGTTTAGGATCGTGTGCACACAATTAATCAGGAGTTATGTCTTTTGTCTTTGAAAGACAAAAGCCATCGGAGTAAAAAACAGTTAAAACAAGTTTGTAATTGCAAAAACTTAAAATTAGTCTATTGAATTTTGATATTTTTTGTAATAATCGGAGTGCAAAAAAACATACTCCGTTAATGCTTTAAAAAAGTAAATATTTTTAAGTGTTAATTATTTTTTAATTTTTATATATTCAATATAGGTGTCATATGAAATATAATAAAAAGTTATCGATTTTGATCTATATTTTATAACAGTGGGAGCACAAATAAAAAAGTTATAGCGTGATAAAAAAAGTAGATATCTTTAAGGTGTCAAATTACTTTTTTATTTTTATATATTCAATATTGGTGTCATATCAAAGATAATAAAAAGTTATGAGTTTTGGTATATTTTTCATAACAATCAGAGTACAAATAAAAAAGTTATACCACTTTAAAAGAAAATGGGATTTTAATAGGTGGTGGACCCTTACTCAAATTGTGCTTATCATAATTGTGCTTATATTTTTCATAACAATATAAACAAAGTGGCGGAAGATTTTTATAACAGAAATTGACCTAAATAGGAGTAAAAACGTTTTGAAATTCCAAAATACGAGTATCATATTTTTTATTCCCTGAATAGGAGTAAATTTCTGCCAAGTTTGGCATTACAAGGCTTTTAAACATGGCATTTTCTTCCAAATTTGGCAGATTACTCTTATTCAAGGAATAAAAAACATGATACTCCTATTTTGGAATTTCAAAACGTTTTTACTCCTATTTAGGGAATTCTCTCTTTTTATAACAATATAAACATTAACAATAGGTGTGTTGGGAGCAATGTTTATGAGTTACCACTATACATAAGTGGCGGAAGATTTTTCACTGCAGTTAACCCCAGCAGTATTTTGGGAAATATTTTAACCTAACACTGTTTTCGAAAATATTTATCTATTTAACAATATTTCGGGAAAAAACTTTTACGTAGTACTACCTATAGCTAATTAAGGAGAGAAGATGGATATATATATACATCGTATATATATACACGGAATATTTGCTCAATAATTCCATTTGTACCACCCAAATCCATACTTGCTCTGTTAATGTTTCTTTTTATCTGTTATTACCATGCATTCACACACTTTTTTCTCAAGAATCACAGGACGATTTTTTTTTATCTATGTCATCGGTAATTCACAAAAATAAAATTAGTTCTCTGTGTAACAAAAAGGGGCGTGTCAACGGCGACCATTGGTATTTGGCTATTTGCTTTTCTGTCAAAAGACAATCCACCCCTACTCCTTTGAATTGTCAAACTCCGTTTTGCAATTTAGATAAAGTTTATCACTTTAGTCAAGTCGGTAAAATTCTACAAACATATACGAGTAAATTAGAAGAAGGGTTTTGAGCATAAAAAAATATACACCAAGTCTGCAAGAAGAAAAACAATAAATTTGAGAAACCTTGCGGCGTTTTGCGTACCTGGCTAAGTAGGGCGGTCGACAGTAGCAACGGACAGCGGCCGGTGGCGGTGGATTGGACGAACGGTGGGGAAACTCCAAAGAAGGCTGCGTTTCTAACCGGCAGGAAGCCTTGGTAGTCGGAGTTGGAATGATGATGGGGATTACTCCATGCCCCCTAATACTACGGGAATGGGTCGGGTGGGATGCACTACTGTTGCATGGACGGATTTAGGGAAGGAGTAACGTAAGCCCGGCCCATCCCAAATTTAAAAAGTGTTAATTTTTAAAGTAAAATATTTTGTGTATTTTATTTCAAAAATATTCTTTTCACCAGCCTAGCGCCCTTACCCTGGTCTATTCAGTGTAGCTCATTTATGTTACATAGTATTGTTTTTAATTAGAAATAGATTATTCAATGTCAGTTTCAAGCGATTGACACACACACACACACACACACATATATATATATATATAGGAAAATAAATTTAAATCATACAAACTATCTTTCATGAACCAAGAATAATACATACTTTGAAAATAAGTTTTAATAATACCAACTATTTAAAAGTATTTTTTCAAGAAGAAAAGTTTTTAATCTATTAGGTTAATCCCAACATATTAGAAGTTTTGTCATATCTTAAACATCTTCCCACGTGTGTGCTCGGATGAGATTCTGACCATTTTTGCTTGTTTAAAGAGTTTTCTTAGATGATGTTTAGTGCAAGAGTTTACTTGAAAACTTTTAGTTCAGTTTTCCATAGATGGCGCCAATGTTGATGTTTATTCCTTCAACTCCAAAGGTCTAAAACCTTTGGGTTTCGTAGGACGTGAGTTAGTGGATTGAGAGTATTAAAGAGACACAAGCAATAAATGGGTAAGCAAACAAAATATTTAGTAAGTGAGCCAAGTTCTTATTAAGTGATAATAATGAACAATAATAGCACACCCTACAGTCAGCCGAGTCTGAGTGTCTGCTCTAAGTTGGGAATACAAAGGATGAAGTAAATGCTGTTATTTATACTACCATGGGGTAAGTGGTAGTGATGACGTGGAGGTTCTTGAGTGGCTAGCTTCCTAACCATCAAATTTACTGCATTAAATGTGTTTCCCGCCAATATATTACTTTCCTGTCAAAGGTTCCAGAAGAGTGTCCACTGACCCCATGACTCTGGGCCCAAACATGCTCAAGGCGAGGCCCACCGCTCAAACAATGTTGAACGCCCTATCTAAGACTCTCGAATCATCATATGGCCCTGTTTGGACAAGTGTGGAAACGTCGAGCATCGTACAAGCTGAACGATCGTCGGATAGGCCTTTTTGTTGGGTCGTTCCCCAGTTGGACCTTGATCACTCTCTTGTTAAGGAATAACGGGCTGCCCCAATGTCGGGCCAATTACCCCCAACAAGTGTTATTACTATATCTGCATGTGTACAATTTCAAGTTTAGCCCGGTCATTTACATCCTCTTACCAAAAAAGGAAAAAGGAAGAATGGAACCTTCCTGTACCCGCCACTGCCAGAACCTTCAAATCTACCACGGCCACCTGCCATTCCACCACGTCCTTCGGAGAGTCGAAGTACGATGGCAGTCATGTCAAATTCCTTTTCCTTGTTTGCGACTCCTGGGAGCTCAGCCGCCATACCCAATGAAGTAAGGAATTCAATTGGTCTCCTTTTCGACCTCGACACATTTAGTGTTGATGGCTGAACTTGGGGACGAAGTCCATGAGAGCCGTGTAGAAAGAGGATGATTTGAGAGGCAGCAAGTTCTAAAACATTACTCTATGAATTAGCTGAGAAGATGGGCTGACGAAGGGATGAGTGAAGACAAGAGTTTATTTACTAAAATACCCTAAAAGTTTAGGCGGGAGAATGACTTAGTTGAGTTAAATAGTTAATAATATATACTCCCTCCGTCCCTTAAAACTTTGCTATCTTTGAATTTTTTGGTCAACCATGTTCAACTTTGACTAATTATATATCTTTGTAGAAAATTAGTTATGATATAAAAATTATGTGAAAACGTTCTTTGTTAAAAGTACTTTCATAAAAGTATAAAACTTACCACTTTCATAATATTATACTAATCAAAATTATGTTCCAAACTTTACCACCATTGACTTGAAAAGTCAAAGATGGCAAAGTTTTTAGGGACGGAGGTAGTAGATAATATGTAGGGTTGTAAATGAACCGAATCGAGTCGAATAATATAACTTTGTATTCGTTTAATTTTTTGAATACGAATTTGAATATGAAACGAATATTAATTTCGATTTGTATATTTGTAGTTATTTAACAATACGTACGTTATGAATAGTTAACAAATCATATACGAATATCGAACGATTTGATCACAAGTTAAATATGAGTAAAATATCACTTTAAAACAACTTTTGCTATGTGTGCTATGACATAATATGCGTTTTTAGAATTTAATTTGTGACATTTCATTTGTCTTTGAAATTTTATGGATTAATAATTTTTAGGTTGTGCACAATATACTGAAGTGAATCAATTTTATGGTTACTATACATAAATATATTTCAATTAAAGCTTTTGAAATAAACACTAACTCACACGTATTAGAGATTATATCTATAATGTGTGAAATAAATTGATAATTGTATATATCAAAATCAAATGACTCTAATTTTATGTTAGATATTTAGCATTATTGATAATAAATATACCATTATATATATATATATACATATATATATATATATATATATAGTTTATATTACACACACATTATGGATATTGTGGGTAGTTGATGCACATACACATATATATATACTAGATATTGGTTTTGTTTATTTATAAATAAATATATATTTCATTATTTTTCGAATCAAATACATAATTATTTCTATTCTATTTGAAAGATGTTTGAACCAAACATCAAATTTGTATTGGTATTTATTTTCTATATTTTTAAATTTAAATCATAATATATGAATCCAATTCACGAATCTAATTACAATTATTTGTTTTTGCTTACAATCCTTTCTCCTTATGATACTTCCGATTTTTTACGAATTGGCTCGAAATGTGTATACGTAAATGTATGTATATGGACTACACTTTGAGGGCATGACTAGCTTTTAAAAGTTATTATAGTATTATTACTATATTATTATTACTATTATTATTATTAATTATCGATATTATCACTATTATTAATCGAATATATTTGATTAACATTCGCTTCCAATATACTGATATTAATATTTGTATTTGATAACATTTTGAATCAAATTTAGTATTATTATTTGTATTTGATTTTTTTGAATCGTGCGTCTTATATGAATCCGAGCCCCGAATTGAACATAAATTATTTGGTTGTTTACGACCATAATTATATGTTCACCAAAATTATTGTTAAAACCATACATTGAATCTAGTTTTACCTGATTTAACATATTTATTAGTCAATTCAATCGGAGTTTAAACAAGCAAGGTAATATATTGAATAGTGGATTCCTCCAGTAGTTCAAAGTGTGATCAAAAGGACTCGAAATAATGTGATATTATTCCTCCGTACTGAAGTACTGAGAATGATCACGGATTAGTCCTTGTTAATCGCACTTCAAATATGGTTGAGTCATGTGTGTTGTCGGTGAGTATAGATGCATACACATGCATGGGAAGACAGATCAAACAGCTAGCCAACCAATTAACTTAGCTGGCCCTGCCCTGGCCTGGCCGTATGTATGTATATACGCGTGTGTGGGCAAGCTGGACCGATGGCGATCGGCAACTTAACCTCGTGGCTCCTACTGTGCCACCAGATCACCGGCCGCACCATCGACTTTTCATGTCAACTCTTTTCGTCACTAACTCCGCGTGTACTTGGACGGTCGCACGTGTAGTTGAGTTGGTCAAATTTTGCCTGAGTTAGAGAAATCATCGAAGATTTTAACTCGCATCGATTGTGTGGATGTTGCAGTTTCTGTATGCTAGGCTGAACCTCTAGCTAGTGTGCATGAATGCAAAGCATATGATCATTCAGTTGACTGAGTCACAATGATTTACAATTTTTCATATGTGTTGTCGGGTCAAGGTCTGAGGTGCCCTTGGGGTATGTGAGTCAAATTTTGGAGACCAACTCCAAACATAGTTATGTATGTAAGAAAATTTGTATTAAAATTGCATCAGATGTCAATTTTTAGGCATTATTTTGAGCGGGATCCACTTCTGATTTGGATCAGGTTAAAGTGGTTTAGGATTCTTCTTTGTAAGAAGTTCAATTTGATATGTGGTTAGGGGTGGTTCGGTACGGTATACCTAAGATTTTATCTCATACCTTTACCATACCGTAAACTTTCGGTATGCAAAAATACATACCGTTACCATACCTAAATTTCGGTATACCTTGTTTCGGTATACCAAAATTTCGATACCGTAAGCTACGGTATCGGTAAATTATCATGATTTAATATCAAATTATTATATATCAAATGAAATATAGAAAATTAGTGTTAATAGTGATATACTAAAATTATTAATGAAATTAATTATAAAATACCAATGATAACTTATTTGTGTTCTATTCAACTTTGAACAAAAAAATATTATAAATATGTACGGATACTTCAACACATGATATATGAAGATAACAACACATTTTGCTAAAATAATAATTTAAACATAAATATATTTGAAATAACATCGATCTCCAACAAAAAGTATAAATAATTCAAGAAACATGGATATAAAGTCATTATTCTTGAATTAATGTTGTGTTTCTAGTTATTTTTATAATTTTAAATAAATTATTGGCTTGGAATTACGGTATGACGGTATAACGGTATACCGTTTATTTCCAAAATATATACCGATACCATACCGAAGTAATTCGGTACGGTATGATACCGTACCAAAAGTGTCGGTATACCAAATACTTCGGTAAATTCGGTATTTTTCGGTATGGTAAGTCCGGTATACCGAAATTTCCGTATTTTTCCCCACCCCTATATGTGGTATACTCAAAATGGATAACGGGTGAATAAGAAATTGATTCTCAAAATACACTTGTTGAGATGGAGAAATTGGAAATTCCCGAAGGTAGAACTAAACGCATAACTACTGTCGGTTAATGGACTTTTTAATTTCTCCATCAAACCGCAAGTGTTTTGAACGTTGGTTGACATTTGAATACTGGAATACGTGATTAATGCATTGTCTAATTGTGAGGTTAGTGGCATGAAATGTTCGAGACCAGGCCATTAAGACACGAT